TTAACAGCAGTGGTTATTTCCAGTCGTAGAAATGTAATGCAATTGAAATGATTGGGCAGCGTGGCAGTTAAATTGGATGGATTCCAGGGCTGGGCTGGTGAGTTACCTGATTCCATCTGCAGCCCTCCTAGAACTGCTGAATGGGAACCTAGGCTCCTAAGGAGCTCCAGAGGTGGTCCAGGCTCCCTGAGACCTTTAGGACCAGGGAAGGTATGGGCTGAGTCTATGTCCCCAAGAGTCCAGCTTGCTCTCTTGTCCCAGTTATCTGCTGCTATAGAACAAAGAACTCAAAACTTAGCGGCTTAAAACAATTTTGTTCTGTGCATTCATGGGTCAGCTCTCACTTGGGGTGTCTCATGCAGTTGCAGACATGTGTTAGCAGGCTCTGGAAGGGTCTAAAGTCTTCTCTCCCATGCCTAGTGACTGGGCTTGTATGATTTGAAAGCTGGGACTGGTCAGTCATCTCTCCTCTCCACATGGTTGCTTGGGCTTGCTCACAGCAGGGCTGTCTCAGGATAGTCAGACTTTTACCTGAGGTCTGGCTTCCTGCACAGCAAGTGTCAAGGGACAGGGAGTGGAAGTTGCCAGCCTCTTAAGACCAAGACCTTGAAACTGACCCAGCATCACTTCCACTATTGGATAAGCAATCAGAGCTGCGCAAGGGGAGGAGACATAACCTTCAGGTCCTGAGAGACAAAGGCCAAGGAATTTGTAGCCACTTTGAATCCTTCACGTTCTCCAACCAGGACTCAAGTCCCAAAGAGTTTGTTCATAGTTGGACATTATCCTAGTCTGACCTCATAATGAGTTGCTTTGTATTCATATAGCTCTCTATGCATTAACAAGAAAGCTTGTATACACTGTCTCAATTTTCCTCCCAATATCTCTGTAAGAGAGTAGGTTGAATGGTAAGGCAATTGAGGTACAGAGGTTAAAGGCCTTAGATCACACAGCTTCCCAGGGGCAAAATTGAGACAGACGTCTGAATCTCTCGACTCTCAGTCCATGTTGAGGCATTCTGGCTGGTTTGTTTGTTTACCCGGGTCTCTCTGCTCTCTGACACATGCAGAGTGGCAGCAGAGGAAATCTGGCCACAGATCTTGGCTGCTGAAGCTCGGGGTGCAAGCAGAAGTAATTTGCCTATGACTGCTCTGTTCCATCAGTAAGGACTCTTGAAGCCACTGTACTGGCCTTCACTCTTGGGAAACTCTTTCCGGATTCTCCAGCGGCAACAGCTGGGCAGGATCGCAAAGTCAGCCAGGTCCTTGGAGCCGAAGCGCCAGGTGGCATAGCACCTGTAGGCGCAGTGCCGCAGCTGGTTGTTGGTGGCATCCGCATCCAGCTTCAGCAAGGGCTCCTGGTAGAGCAGGAGGAACTGCAGGGCACGTCTGGACAGGATGAGCTGCTTGAATGGCTCTGAGGTTGTGATGCAGGCACCTGGCTTTTTCCGACAGCACAGCTCCTCCAGGCATTGGTGACTCCTGGGGAGTTGGGATGGGAGGCAATTTCCGCACTGGCACCAGCTCGGGCTGCTGCTGGATCTGGGTGTTGCCTCCTCACTAAGCAGCTGGATTTCCTCTGGTTGCCCAGGAATGGGGGGTGGGTCTTGGAGAGACAGGGGCAGCCTGGACAAGTCTGTGAAGTCCATTAATGGTCTCTGGAAAAGTCAAGTTTCCAAACCTATCAGCAATGACAACCCCTAGAGTTCTAGGTTCTTTAATTTCATTATTAACTCACAAAATTACATGTAGTATTATATCAATACCGTGTGTTAAATGTATGTATCAGGACTGTGATAGTCTTTTATGAGCATGGCCTCATTTAAGCTTTCGAAGAATCTCATGAGTTGTGTCCTTATCTCCATTGCACAGATTTAGAAAGTGAAATTCAGAATAGCCAGGCCTCAGTGCAATTATCACCTCTCCAAAAAGAGCCTGACCACCCAATCTAGGTAATGCCCCTCCCAGGTCATTCTCTTACTAGTATTGCACCATGAGATTCTCCATCCTAGTACTTATTGCCATCTGAAAGGATCTTTTT